AACTACAAAGAGAGAAAACTCATAGCTAAAATTATAAATGCAAAAGATATCACAACTGATGTCACAAAAATAAAGATTATATGAGATTTCTAAGGCCGGCCTGTGTGGCTTAGTGTTTGAGCATTGACCTATGGTTCAATTTCTGGTCAGGGCAAGCGTCCAGGTTCTGGGCTCCCTTCCGCTCTGAAATCAATTTTTTTTTTTTTTTAAAGAGACTTCTAGAAACAATTATATGCCAATCAATTACAATAGATAACTGAGAAATATGGGTAAATCCCTAGAATCGTAAAAGCTACCAAGACTAAATTATTAAGAAAAACTGAACAAATTTATAACTTGTGAAGAGACTGAAGTAGCAATAAAAAAAACCTCCCAACAAAGAAAAATCCAGGACCAAATGGCTTAACTGGTAAATTATATCAAAATAGAGGCCCAGTGCATGAATTCATGCACAGGTGGGGTCAGGCTGGCCGGGCCCTGATCAGGCATTTCAGGGCTGGGCCAGCCTGAAGGAGGAGAGACAGTGAGAGGTTGGCTGGCCGGCCCACCCTGATTGGCCTGATCAGGCTGGGCCAGCTGGCTCTGCCTCCGATTGGTGGTGGTGGTGGGGTTAGACTAGGGTGTGGAGATGGCTGTGAGGAAGGCAGTGGGCCAATTGGGTGGTGGGGGTGGAGTTATCATGGGGAGGGCCTTTGAGCCAATGGGGTGGAAGGCCAATCAGGGGCAGGGCTTGCTAGAGGGGGGGGGCAGGGTGAAAGGCCAATGGGGTAGGGGGCCTATTGGAAGCCAGCAGCCAGGGGTAGTTGGCTGGCCAGGCCCAACCCTAATTTGTGTGGGGGGCCAATTGGAGGTGGGGCCAGCAAGGGGGTGAGGCAGTAGGTAGTGGGCCAGCTGGCCCTATTCCTAAATGAAATGAGGGGCCAATTGGGGGTGGAGCTGGCTGGGGGGAGGGGCTGCAGGAGGTTGGCTGGCCCCACCTTCTATCAAGGTGTGTGTGTGTGGGGGGGGGGCTGACCAGGGGTTGGGCCAGCCCAGGGGAGGGGCTTTGAGCCAATGGGATGAAAGGCCGATCAGGGGCGGGGCTTGGTAGGGGTACAGGGTGAAAGGCCAATCAGGGAGAGGGGATGCTGAAGGTTGGCTGGCCAGCCCTAACCCCCTGTTAGGGTTAGGGGGGCAATTGGAGGCAGCACCGGCCAGGGTGAGGGGCTGTGGGCTGATCAGGGTGAGACAAGCTTATTGGGGGCGGGGCCAGCTGGGGGGAAGGGCCGTGAGTTGGCCAGCTGCCCCAACCTAGATCAGAGTGGGAGAGGCTGGGTCGGCCAGAGGGAGGAGCCACAGGAAGTTGGTTGGCTAGCTCCGCCCTTGATCAGGGTAGGAGAGGCTTAACAGGGGCGGGTCTGGCTGGGAGGAGGGACCATGGAAGGTTGGCCTGTCAGCCTCACTCCTGATTGGACCAGTTCACTGGCCGCAGTGGACATCATAGCAACTGATTGTTCTGGTCATTTTGGCATTCCTGTTGCTGGCTTTTTATATATATAGACTAGAGGTCCAGTGCACCCTCTCCAATCTGGAATCCCTCAGGGGATGTCTGACTGCCAGCTTAGGCCCAATCCTGTAGGATACACCCTTGCCAGCCTGATCATCCCTACCTTGCCCCCCTGCCAGCCTGATCGCCCCCAAATGCCCTCCACTGCCAGCCAATTGCTTCCAACTGCCCTCCGTTGACGGCCTGATCGCCCCCAATTGTCCTCTGTTGCTGGCATGATCTCCCCTTAACTGCTCTCCCCTGCCGCCTTGATCACCTCCTAACTGCTTGCTCCCCTGCACCAGCCTGATCTCTCCCCTAACTGCTTGTTCCCCTGTACTGGCCTGGTCGCCCCCTAACTGCTTGCTCCCTTGCGCCAGCCTGATCTCGCCTGATCGTACCCCTAACTGCCTGTTCCCCCATGCCAGCCTGGTCACCCCCTAAATGCTTGCTCCCCTGTTGCCTGATAGCCCTCTGCCTCTGCCCCTGCCCCTGCCACAGTGGCTTTGTGCCGAGGAAGTGGGACATCCAGTAGATATCCAATCAACCTGGTCTAAAAAGCATATTACCCTTTTATTAGTATAAATACTCAAAGAAGAATCAATACCACTGTGTCTGAAACTCTTCTAAAGAATCAAATAGGGCCCTAACCGGTTTGGCTCGGTGGACAGAGTGTCGGCCTGTGGACTGAAGGGTCCAAGGTTCGATTACAGTCCAAGGCAGGTACCTTGATTGCAGGCACGTCCCCAGTAGGGGGTGTGCAGGAGGCAACTGATCGATGTTTCTCCCTCATCAATGTTTCTAACTATCTCTCTCTCTCCCTTCTTCTCTGTAAAAAATCAATAATATTTTAACTAAATAGGAAGAAATATACTCCCAAAGTCATTCAATGAAGCCAGCATTACCCTGACATCAAAAGAATGAGATTGGACCCATATATAAACATTAACTCAAAATTGATAAAATATCTAAAGGGGAACAGCTTTAGGTCACTGGATTGGCAGTGATATCTTGGATATGACACCAAAAGCATAGACAGCAAAATAAAGAGTAGGCAAAATAAAAACCTAACTATTATACCAAACTTCAAACTTCTGTATGTCAAGGGAAATAAGAGTGAAAAGGCAACCTATGAATGAAAGAAAATAACTGCAAATCTAATAAGGAATTAATATCCAAAATATATATATGGAATTTTACAACTCAACAATTAAAACCTAGGTAAAGAACTTGAATAGATGTTTCACCAAAGAAAATATACAAAAGCACACAATATTGAGCCTAGCTGATATGGCTCAATGGATAGAGCATCGGCCTGAAGACTAAAGGGTCCTCGTTTGACTTCAGTCAAGGGCATGTACCTCAGTTGCAGGCTTGATCCCAGTCCTGTTCTCACATCTGTGTTTCTCTGTCTGTTTCTCCCCCTCCCTTCCACTCTCTAAAAAATAAAAAATAAATTAATGGAGCTTAGCTGGCATGGCACAGTGGTTGAATGTCAATCTATAAACCAGGAGGTCACAATTTGATTCCCAGTCAGGGCATATGCCTGGGTTGTGGGGTCAATTCCCAATTTGTGGGGTTTTTATCTCTTTCTCCTTCTCACTTCCTCTGAAATGAGTGAAGAAAATATTTTTAAAAATCAATAGAAAAATATCCTTGGGTGAGGATTAAAAAAAAAAAAAAAAAAAAAAAAAAGATACTCAATATCACTAATCATAAGGAAAATGTAAATATCCCCTCATATCAATCAGGATGGTTACTTTTATAAAAGAACAGAAAATAAGTGTTAGCAGGAATTGAAAAAGTTGGAGCCCTCACACACAGTTGATGGAAATGTAAAATGGTGCAGTCATTATGGAAAACAGTAAATAAGTTTCTAAAATATTTAAGAATAGAATTATTAGATCATCTACCAATTTCACTTCTGGGTATATATCCAAATGAATTCAAAGCAGGGTTTTGAAGAGAAATTTAGAGACCCATATTCATACTGGCATTATTCATAATAGTAAAAGGTGGAAGTAACTCAAATGTCCATCAAAAGACACATAATTAATGAAAACATAGTATATACACATAATGGAAAATTATACAACTTTTAAAAAGAAAATTCTGTTATATACTATAACATGAATGAACCTGAAGATTATACTAAGCAAAATAAGCCAGTCACAAAAGGACAAATATTGTATGATTCCACACAAATTAACACATTGTGGATGGATCACAAGAATTCTCACTTCATATTACACACTGTTTTATAAAGTATCATACTTTTAAAAGATATTAGCTTGTAAGAACATGTAATAAATAACTTCAAAGTACAATGGGTATTTAATTTGAAAGCGTGCCTTTAACATTTACATAAAACGTTTTTGTACTTGTTCAATAGAAACTTATCTGGCCACTGGGTAAAGCTAGCAATAAAACTACTGGTCTGCAATGTGTTAAATATCTAAAATATTCAAAAGTATAGAAATGTAAGACAGGAGAGAAAATGAAATAAAATGAAGTGTTCAATTGAAACCACAAAATGCAAAAAAGAATGGAAGACAAAAATAGGAACAAAGGAGGAGGGTAGGTAGAAGGGTAGTTTATATGGACTGGCAGAAACAAGAGAATGGGAAGTTTTTATTGGGCACACATTTTTGTTTGGGAAGATGAAAAAGTTCTGGAGCTGGATGGTGGTGGTGATTGCAGAACATGTTAATGTACTTAATGTCACTGAACTGCACTTAAAAATTGTTAAAATGATCAATTTTATGTTATGTATATTTTAACTAGAAAATCCTATCTAATAAAAGAGTACCGGTAATATGCAGATTGACCATCACTCCAACACACAAGATGGCTGCCCCCATGTGGTCAAAGATCCTGCCCCCCATGTGAACACAAGATGGCCACCACAAGATGGCCAGCAGGGAAGGTCAGTTGAGAGGGACCAGGCATGCGAGCAAGGGCAGTTGGGGGCGATCAAGCCTGCAGGGGAGTAAAGTTGTGGGGGGGGGGGGGGGGGGGAAAGACCACCCAGGCCTGCAAGGGAGGGAAATTGAGGGCTGGCAAGAGAGCAGTCAGACATCAGTCAGGCTGGCTGGGGAGTGGTTAGGGGGTGATCAGCAGTTAGGGGCAATCAGGAAGGCAGGCAGGCGAGCAACTGGGAGCTAGCAGTCCTGACTTGTGAGAGGGATTTCCAACTGCCCATTTAGGCCCAATCCTGGTAGGATCTAGAGATTCTAGACAGCCTGGTAGGATCAGGCCTAAATGGGCAGTCAGATATTTCTTTGTCTATTCCCACAACCCCCACCCCAGAGTTGTGGTATGTGGTGAATAAGTTCTTTACTAACTTATAACTAATTAAAGTGTCTGAAGAAAACTTACCCCCATGCACACACCCCATGCATGAATTTCGTGCACCGGGCCTATAATAATTGTGGGTATATGTTTGGAGGTGGGGTGGCCTTGACAAGTTGATTTTAAATTTTACATGGAAATGCCTAATTTGCGTGTCATCCTTGAGCAGCGGCCATGCTAATCTTCTCTATATCATTCCAATTTTAGTATATACTAGAGGCCCGGTGCACGAAATTCTTGCATGGGTGGGGGGGCCTCAGCCCAGCCTGCACCCTCTCCAATCTGGGACCCCTTGAGGGATGTGAGACTGCCTACCAGGCTGTCTTGAATCTCTAGATCCTACCAGGATCAGGCATAAACAGCAGTCAGACATCCCTTTCACAATCCAGAACATCCCTCTCACAATATCTGATGGTCTTAGGCTCAACCACTGGCAGAGTCGCCTAAGACCATTGGAAAACACAGATATTTACATTATGATTCTTAACAGTAGCAAAATTACAGTTATGAAGTAGCAAGGAAAATAATTTTATGGTTGGGGGTCACCACAACATGAGGAACTGTATTAAAGTGTCACGGCATTAGAAAGGTTGAGAACCACTGGGATTGCCCAATATATAATTGGTATTTTTTTGTCAATCTAATATTCATTCTCTTGGCAATCTCATCTGCTCTCATGATTTAAATACATCTTTATACCAATATTTTCAGTTCAGACACCTCTCTTAAACTCCAGGCTCATTTATAATGTCTAGTAGACATCTGAAATTCCATGTCCAAAATTATTTTGTACATTTTTCCCCAAAACCTGCTCCACCACTTATTAACCACCTTATTTCTCTATAAGGTAATCTTATCCTTCCTGATGCTGAGACCAAAAAATTTGGAGTCATCCTTATTTCCTCTCCCAACATCAGTAAATCCATTTTTCTCCATCTGCTAAATATAACCAGAATTTAAGATTTTTTTCACCTCCTCAACTGCTACCCATAGTTCAAGCCACATTCATATCTCACTTGGATTACTACAGGAGACTCCTCTCTGGTCTCTCTGCTTATACCCTTGAACCTTTTACACACTATTCTTAACAAAGCAGCAGAAAGATCCTTTTAAGGTTTATTTTGGATCTCATTTTTCCTATTTGAAATTCTTCAATGGTTACTCATCTTACTCAGAAGAAAAGCCAACTACTTCTGGTCTATGAACAACTTTTACTTCATCTTCATTGTGTGATAACAGTGCAGTGCGTTTTTATAAATGTCTCTTTCTTTTAACATATGCTTTTTCCTATGTTTTGTTGTTAAATTTTCTATTTTTCATAAAATAATAGTTGTTATAAGTGGGATGTTTTTAAAACATTTTATTACTTAAAACATAAAAACTGGTAGAACTAAGTTTCAATGACTTTTTCTCTGTTTCTCCTTTCTACTCTCTATACATTTTCTTTGCTGAATTAAAAAAACAGAACATTTGTACTGGTATATTAAATTGAAAAGTTTGGGAACTGCTAGCCAAAAGGATTTAACAAGCACATACCTGCACTGAAAGCCCACTAAAGCATAGGTAGGAGAAGCTACATTGGTTAGAGTATTAGACCCACACCCCTCTTCAGCTCTGCCGATACTTGGCTGTGTGACATTAGTTTTTTTGACCCTCCAGTTCTTCATCTATAATATCCATTATAGTATCCATTTCATAGAAATCTGAAAATTAAATGAGATGATACATTTAAAACATAATGACACCCAATAGCTACCTATGTATTTAGTTAATGCAGTGTTAATGCAATGGTGTATGGTCGGAGAGAAGTGGGAAGGAGGTCAGTGGGATCAGGCTACCATAGCAAAGAGAAGGATTTTATCCACTTATGTTTAGAACTACTAGCACATGATGATAAAAAAAAAAAAGCATTTGGTAAGGTTCAGTATTGCTTTTAAGTTCTCTTCAATGAACCCTACTTGCCGTCATGAAGATGTACCACAGCAAAAAGAACATCTCCCACATCCACTCATTCATTATTAACTGAGAGTTAGGCACAGTGTATGGCAAAGACTCAAAAGGTAGTATTAAGAGTATGGTCACCATGTACTCTTAAATAAACTAAGGGTAATGATTTAGAAAATAAAAATATTCACCTTTTTTGAATTTATGTATAGGGAGTTTCTTAAGTTGATCTTTATGAAGTCTGTTTCTTCTAGCTCTATGTCTATCCTGGAAAAATTTTGTGATCTAAAAACAAAAGGGAAGATAAGGCATCAGATATTAAACATGCAAATAGAAAATGGCCATTAACATATCAAATATCTATTTTTTTTGCTTTCATTTTTTTAATAAATCTTTATTGCTCAGATTATTACAATAACAAATATCTTTTAAGTTTCTGATTAGCTGCTGAAAGTAAATTCAATTTACTTAAACCCTAATGGCAATATTAATTAAAGCATTAAACTGTATTAGTGATTAATTACCCCATTAAATTGTCCTTTGAATTTTTATTCATTGTCCTAAATTATCTTTAATTTTCTCTAACAAAAACATAAATAACATATGTTTTTTTGAAAATATACAAATGGTAAACTATAGGTTACAAAGAAGATGAAAAGAATGGGAGAGTTGAAATTCCTATAATTATAAACTATAATAAAAAAAAATTCAAAAATATAGAACACCCCTATTACAAATATTCAGATATGCTAGATAACATACAAATATTTTTAACTGTAAATTAATACGTTTGCAAGAATTAAAAAAAAAAAAAAAACTCACAGGACTAGAACCAAATGCTAAAAGCAACATCCATAAAAGAAAATTTTGGCAAATTTAACTATATCAATGTGAAGGAATTCTATCCTCAACACTGTTAAAAGATAAAAGACAAGACAGTCTGGGGAAAAATATTAGCAAACTGTATATCTGATAAGGGATTTAAATCCAGAATATAAAAAGAACTAAAACTCAATAAGAAAACAAGCAACCCATTAGGGAAAAAAATGAGCACAAAATTTGAATAAACACTTCATCATAGAAGATTTAAAGATAGCATAAATCACTTAAAGAGATGCTCAACATGGAGGGGGGCAATGATAAGATATGTTCACATATAATACCTTAATAAAAAAAAAATTAAAAAAAAGAGATGCTCAACAAATTACTCAATAGGAAACTAAAATTCAAATCACAAATACCCTATGCACCTATTAGAATGACTAAAATTAGACTGACTAAACCAAGCATTGGCAATGAAGCAGAGAGACTCGCACTCTGGTACACAATGGTAGAACTGTAAAATGGTACCACCACATTGAACATAGTTTGGCTATTTTTCATAAATTTAAACAGACAATTACCATTTAACCCAATCATTCCACTCCTACTTATATACACACAAATAGCATATATCCACATGACAATTTGAATACAAAAGTCCATGTCCAAATGTTCATGTCAGCTTTATTTGTAAGAACCAAAAATTATGAACAACCCAAATATCCATCAATAGTAAATAGATAAACAAAATTGTAGTATATCCATACAATGAAAGATAACTCAGCTATAAAAGAAATGAATAATCAATGTACTCAATAACATATGAATCTCACAATAATTCTGAAAGAATGCAGACACAAAAGATTACATAATTTATTATTCCATGTATATAAAATTATAGAAAATCTATAGTGACCAAAAGCAGATCTGTAGTTGACTAAGGTTGGAGGTGAGCAGGACATGAAATTGAAAGATGTTACAGGGAGGGATTACAAAGGAGCACGAGAAAACTTTTTGAACTGATCAATAAATTTTGCTAGTTGTGGTGGCTTCACAGATATACATATGTCAAAACTTGCCAAATCATAAATTTAAATTAGTCCAATAATATTAATATATGATTATATATTATTCATAAAAATGTAAATGGATAAGTTCACCAGTGTTTTAAAAGAGTGAATCATAGTATTTAAAGAAAAAGTGACAACTATATACTATTAACTCATTAAGACAAAAATAAAGGTAGAGATTAAAGATGGCAGGAGAGTAAGTGAAGACAGCACAGACATGCTCCCTGGAACACACAGGAATGACAACTAAAATACAGAAAAACTTCCTGAATAATCAATGAAGACTCACAGGAGAAAAAACTGATACCTGAGAACCAAAAGTGGAGGTCACATAGAGACTGGTTGGAAGGGTGGAGGGGCAAAAAGTCTGGCTAGGCACCTACAGACAACAACTAAAGTCCCAGAGAGATATCTCAGCTATGAGGGCTTGCCACTGAGAACTCTGGGATATAATCCCCAAGCTGGGCCCCCAAGCAGAGAGTACCATAACTGAGAAGGGTACCCACATAACATCTGGTTATGAAAAGCAGTGGGTTGCTGTCTACCAAGGAATGACAGAGGAAAATTCAGATACTCTCTTAAAGGACCAATGCACTATGTTCCCTGTGGAGCCACTCATCTTGTGCTCTGGCAGAGGGAAAATGGAGTGGATTGAAGCAGTGTGAGCAGAAGCCAGGCACACCAGTTTCCTGAGCTAAGTCATTCCCTCATGCAGCCTGGGGAAATGACAGTTGACCCACCCTATTGTAAAACATTTTTCCCTGAAGCCAATTAAGAGACTAAAACTAACAATTAGCTTCCCGGAAGAAGCAACTGCCCCATCCAGGTGGAAAAAAACCTCCCACCACATCTGAGGATGATTGCCTGAGGGCAATTCAAGATGGAATCCTATCAGTTTGTAGGCAGAGTGGGTCTCTGGAGAATTTTATTCCTTGCCTAATCTAATTAGTCAGAAACAGCATTTTGACAATGTCCTGCACTAAAGATTGAGAGGCATCAGGAGCTACTTAATACATAGTCACAAACACAAACAGGCAGCCAAAATGAGGAGACAAAAAAACAACCCCCAAATTAAAGAACAAGAGAATTTGCTAGAAGAAGAGATAAATGAAGCCGAGATAAATTTATTTGAAACAGAGTTCAGAGTAATGATGGTAAAGATGCTCAAAAACATTAAAAAAAAAAATATATATATATATATATATATTAACTATGAAAAAAGAAGAGTCAGAAATAAAGAATGACATAACACATTGGAGGTAATATACAACAGATTAGGGGAAGCTAAGGATCAAGTCAGTAAATTAGAAGACAAGGTTGAAAAAAAATCACTCAGAGAACCAAAAATGAAAAACAATTAAAAAACAGAAGTTCAAACAAACAAACAACAAAAACAACAAAACAAAACAAAAACACAAACACACACACAAAAAAACAGAAGGACAGCTTAAGGGACCTGTGGGACAATGTGAAAATATTAGAATAGCAAGTGTGCCAGAAGAGGGAGAAAGGGATAAAAGGCTAGAGAACGTGTTTGAAGAAATAATGGCAGAAAATTTCCCTACCCCAGAGAAGAAAAAAGTCACACAGTTCAGGAGGCACAGAGAACCCCTAGCAAGAAGAATGCAAGCAGACCCACACCCAGACACATCATAATTAAAATGCCAAAAGTTAAAGAACAAGAGAGGACCTTAAAATTAGCAAGAGAAAAGCAAACTGTTACCCACAAAGGAGCTCCCATAAGGCCGACACCTGATTTCTCATCAGATATTATACAGGCCAGAAAGGAATGGCATAAAGTACTCAGGTTATGGAAAGCAAGGATCTGAGACTAAGATTACTATATCAAGCAAGGCTATCATTCAAAATAGATGGTCAAATAAAGAGCTTTCCAGACAAAAAAAAAAAAAAAAGCTAAAGGAGTACATCACCAGCAAGTGAGTATTACAAGAAATGCTAAAGGGACTACTATAATTAGAAAAGAGAGAGAGAGAGAGAGAGAGAGAGAGAGAGAGAGAGAGAGAGAGAGAGAGAGAGAGAGAGAGAGAGAGAGAAACCTAGACATACAGAATTAAAATGCCAATAATACATAAGTACCTGTCAATAATAACCCTAAATGTAAATGGATTAATGCTCCAATCAAATGGCAAAGTAACTGAATGGATACAAAAACATAATCCAACTATATGCTGTCTACAAGAGACCCACCTCACAACTAAAGATTCACACAAGATGAGAGTGAAGGGATGGGGGGAAATTTTCCATGCAAATGAAAAAGAAATAAAAGCTGGTGTAGCAATACACATTTCTGACAATTAGACTTCAAAATGAAGGCCATCACAAGAGACAGGTCACTACATATTAATAAAGGAATCAATTCGACAAGAGGCTATAACTGTGGTAAACATAAATGCACCCAATATAGGTGCATCTAAATAAATAAACTTTTAGAGGACTTTAAGGAAGAGATAGACAACAATACAGTCATAGTAGGAGACTTTAACATCCTGCAGACTTCACTGGACAGATCTTCCAGACAAAAATTAACAAGGAAACAGTGACGCTAAAGGCCACACTAGATCAGATGGATTTAATTGACATTTATAGAACATTTTACTCCAAAGCAATAGAATATGCATTCTTCTCAAGTGCACAATGGATCATTCACAAAGATAGACTACATGTTAGGACACAAACAACTCTCTGTAAGTTCAAGAAGATTGAAATCAAATCACAGTGGAATGAAATTAGAAATCAACTATAGTAAAAACACCCAAAAAAATTCAAACATGGTAGGCTAAGTAGCATGTTATAAAACAATCAATGGACTACCAACAAGATCAAAAAAGAAATAAAAAAAACTTACTGGAAACATGAAAATGAACACACAACAACCCCAAGTCTCTGAGACACAGCAAAAGCAGTCCTGAGAAGAAAGTTCATAGTACTACAGGCCTACTTTAAAAAAATAAAATGAAATAAATAAATAAAAAATCAGCAATAAACTGTCTAACCCTACAACTTAAAGGACTAGAAAGAGAACAACAAGAAAAACACAAAGTAAGTAGAAGGAAGGAAATAAGGATTAGAGCAGAAATAAATAACATAGAGACTAAAAAAATCAATACCAAAAAAAAAAAAAAAAATCAATGAAACCAGGAGCTGGTTCTTTGAAAGGATAAACAAAACTGATAAACCATTAGCCAAACTCATCAAGAAATGAAGAGTTAGGACCCAAATAAATAAAAATAATGGTAAAAAAACAAAGGAATAGATCATGATAATATTAAGCAAAAGAAAAGATGGTATATGTAATTTAAGACAAAAATCATTAGAAGACAGTCATGACAATGATAAAAAGGACATTTCATCTTGAAAATGACAAAATTGAAA